ATGATTCTATGATTCTATTCTATTCTATATCCTTGCTGATGTTGTAGCCCTTATCTATAAAAAAACACTTTTTACATTGTAATAAATATAGTGTCGAGATTAAGTCAGTATGGTCCCTGTTAAATGACTACTTGTTTCTCTTGATTAACTTACTTCATCTGAAGTCTTTTCAAAACTAAGTTTTCTGGACTAGGTGATGCATTTCCCGTGAAGCATCCGTCCCACAAAAGAGGAGAATGACCCTTTCAGCAGGGACTGGATCAGGGACTGATCTTGTCCTTTGTGGTCAGTGCCCTAGCCAGGAACCTGCTTTCTGATTTTAACTTTCAAGCTTGGGAAATTTTTTTGTTCTTTTATGTATGGTAGAAGATTTTCAACAGGAAGAGTGGGGTGTTACCTGTACCCCTAGCTTTAAGACTTATTTCTACTGCAGTGGAAGAAAGGAGAGGGAGCTACCTGTAGCAGAGAGGGGAATGAAACCTGTGGTTAGCATATCCTGATACTGTAAAAAAGGGCTATGTAAGTTTCTCCAGACATACGAGTGTCTACCAGCTGTCAGAAGAACCTGGATTTATGCCATAATGGGGGGAGTCAGAACAACTAGTTTCTGGCCTGTGCTTGGGGTCAGGGTGAAGTGGGTATCAAGCCATTCTTTCCCATCCAGAGGGAGCTATGTCAGCTATGCATGGTGGGACTTACGGTGAAACTTAGGAGTCTGAAGTACATATGGTATTTAGATTCTGAGATTTCTAAATAGTATATTGGGTATAGAACCCCAAATTTCATGTATCAAGTCCTTTCTATGGGTCTGGCCTTCTGGAGTTGAGTTGTACAGTACTCTGGCCTATAGCCATATCAATCTCTATTACAATTGTCAATGTTAAAACAGTATTTCCTATTATGTAACTTTTATTGTCTGGTTCCCGGACTTCTGAACTGTTCGAACCACCTACTAAAATGTTAAGAATGTTTTTCACTTCAGTAGCTACAGTTAATAAATACCAATGAAAAGTATTTTTATAAACTTGTAGTTGTTCTTGTTTCAGCATTTCTAGTGGGACTTAAATACTGCGATGGGGAGGACTGTTCATTAAGTTGCACTAGCTGTCTTTTGTTTCTTCCTTCTGAAGATTTTGGTGGCGTCTCCTGAAGCAGTCTTGGAGATGGTGTTGGATGGTGCGTTCCCATAATGCATGTTTACCCCAGTTATCAAATTCAGTTTAAAACAACAGAGATTCTCTAGAAGATTTGAGAGACAGGTGTCATTCAGCTTGTGAAATCAAGTTAGAGTCTTATCAATGTAATTGTCTAGGCCTTCTCTGCACCTGTTTCAATGTATATTACAGGAAATTACTCTGAATTTGTCATGTTTAGCATGGCAAAATGAAGGCTAGGGATTATGATTGCTGTCTATGAATGTACCAGGTAGGGTAACACACTGAGAAGGGAGAAGAGCTGTTGAAGTCAATGGGCAGTGTTGTCACAGGAGGACATAGGAATAAGCTGGACATTGTAAAATGTGTACTGAAGATGTGGAGATTTCTAGTAGCAAAATAAGCCTTACTAGAATTTCAGAAAAAAAGGAGGGACTAAGTATTCTTAAGATTTAGCTTGATATTTACTGTGGTGATATGGTCCCTTTTCAAGTCTTCAATCCTTACAGCAGTTACTGAAAATGTTGCTTTGTCTCCTTTAAGACGTTGCACTGTCCAACTTAGCTCTCTAATGGCATTTCAGCTGCAGTGAAGGTTGAGTATGCTTCAAAAAACATTTTGAGAGGAAATGGTAATAACTTATGTACAGCCTTTCAAATGTCAAAGTTTCTTTAGAAATAAGAATATAGGGAATTTCCAAACAAGAAAGAAATGTGTGTGAAATGAAGAGTCAGTGAAATTGACCATTCTTTCTGTGCATCTAGCAAAGTCTCATATTTTCTGTAAAACTCTGGAACAAAGTTATGTGGAAATGGATGGAAATACCTTTTAAATTGAGGTGTACAATTGCCAGTTCTAGAGTACTAGAGATACTGCAACAACACATCATGGGTACCTTATCAGCTCCACAGCCAGGTAGTGTCACAACTCTAGAAAGATCCCTTGTGCTGTCAGATTCTCACTGTAAGTTATATTTCTGAATAGTTTGAAAACAAACAAATGGACAAAACCCCACAATACAAACAGAAAAGAAAAAAAAAAAAACAAACCCTCAAAATCCCCCAATCCCTCCCTTCCCCAAGCAAAAAAGCTCTGCAAGTCCACGCAAGTCTTGTAGTTCTAAAGCCTGAAGCTGCAAGAAGAAACTGAAATCTTGCATCAGAAGTCTGAGATAGTATCACTCGTCTTTTGGTTTTGTGTGGTTGCCCTCCAAGGCAATCTTCTCCAGGCAGGAGCTTTCTTTGTTTATGTGTATCGGTGGGTCAATTAAGTGATGATGCTTAATGAACACTGTTTGATTAGGTATCTTGATTTCTGAGGTGGTTTATTAATAGTAGAATGGAAGTATTTAAAATATTGAGAGAATTTTATGTAGTATTTGGTTGACTGAATGGTTCACAGTTTATGCTGTGAAAGGGATGTATCTTTTCTGTATTTAGAGTTACTGGGAATAGAACCTTAACTGGACTGATTATTTAAATCATAAGTAAAACTGGAGATTAAATTTTCAATCTTAAAAATATAAAATATGTTAAAATATTTTTAAGGCAAAAGAAAGGTTCTGTCTATGAGAGCTGGTAGATGTGCCTAGTCACATACTAATCAAACTAGCCTCTTGCTTTATCTTTGTTGTGGCTGTCTTCATACACTTCCCACTCAATTGAGCAGTTACTTTTCTGAAAGACTAGTAAATGAGTTGTCCAGTAGCATGTTAATATTCTGTAATGTATCTAAGGTATATTTTAATATTTGGTATAAAATCCTCTGATGTTAGAATTAACGGCATAAGCTTTGCAAAACTTGCAGCTGTGGTTTGTTTTTTTTAGTTTTATCAGTTTTATCAGACCACTTCTGTCTGAACATGGAGGTATTCACAGGTTCACTTGTGGACAGACTAAAACAGGCCCTCTGAGAAATGCATCCCTGTGGGGGAGAGCAGATGACAGGAGGCAGAGGTTTCTGTTTCCCTCAAGTCCTTCTCTTCCAGAGTTTAGCCTGTTTGCTCCAATTCCCCTTCTTCGCAGTCTTCCTCACCTTTCTCCGTCCCTCCTTCTTAGCGTTGCAATGAATAAAATAAGGTTTTCCTTTGCATCCCAGTCTAACCCTTAACAATGTAAGTTATATAGTGCTTGCTGCTGCTAATTCTGCTTTCTGATGCTTGATCAAAAATACAGGCCTCTGTCTTGTCTGACCTCCTAAGCACATCCTTCAGTAAAAGTGCCTGGGATGAAATCCAGTCTGACCTTTTTTTTCCCCCTTTTTCTGCTCTCTATGTAGAAAGCCATTGAAAGTTTTACCTTGTTTGTTATATTTTGACAGTCACCATTCATAGGTCCTTAATTCATAAACTTTACAGTTCAGTATAACAAACCAAAGTTGTCAGGAAAGATGATATTGAAATACCATGCACTCCTAAGCTTTAAACTATGTATTATGTAATGTGATTTTCATATGAGGCACTAAAATCTGTCCCAATTAGAGAATCTGAACTTCTAAATCTTTACTGCATTTATCCTTGCAGTGCTGCTGGAGTTAGAAGTGCTCTTATTATGGTTTCACAGTTAAGGAAATGAAGTGTACGGTGCCTGTGTGATTTCCACCACATTGCACAGGAAGACAGTGTCAGAACCACAAAACCATCCATCCTCTCAACTTTTAGGCATATTTTTGATAACTTCCTCCTTGTCCTTAGCCTCTCTTTCTCGCCTGCCCACCACACACCCTGGACCACATATACACTGTAGTGTAACTTATAATCCTGTATTTACTTGCAAAGTATAACAGTGTCTGTTACCATGTGAAAAATAGACCTAAGCCACAGATGCGGTACTGTTTATTGCCTTTCTCATTTTTGGATACATAGTTCTTCTGTCTTAAGTCGTTGCCATGACTGAAGCCATGGTCAAAGACAGCTGTCACTTTTGGAGACTGTTGCAGTTAAAACATCATTCTTTTAGGATATTTAACATGAAGTTCGTGATGTTTCTAAAACAAAATAACAGTGGGAACCCAGTGTCTTATCTAAATTCTGACTCAGGAAGTTGCTATACATTTAGCCCATCACAAATAAACTTGTTAGGTAAGATCTAATTCCTGTCCTGGTTACCTGCCGTTACCTATTCAGCTTTCCGTAGGAGAGTGAGGTTAAGGTTCATTTCTTCTAAGAGGCTTTCTGCTGGTATAAAAATAATATCGGGGAGAGCTGGAGCTTTTTCATAGAGACTTTCCCATATTTCGGGTGCTAGAAAGAAGGGGTTTATGGTTTTCTTCTTCCTGCTGTTTAGTGTTTGCCCATGTAGTTACGCACTTAGCAGAACAATGGCTTGTCAGTACAACAAACTATTAAAATATATCTCCTACTTTTATTATAAATAAGTTTTATGATTGAAGTTATGGTTCAGTAAACACATAACTTTACATGCTGTAAAATGGCAAATAAGTTAATGACTTGTTGGTTCACCTTGTGTAACTTTAGACATTTTAAGAAATTGCTGACATGCATTTAATAGTTATTTAAATGACAAAAACGACAAATTTAAATGAAAATTTTCTTCTCTAGAAGATACCTATTCAAATACATACTGTCTTCAAGTGCAACATATCAAAACCAGACTAAAGAAAGGGGAATTAAAATACTATGTGACAGTATTCCAGGGTAAGGTGATTTATAAACAGAAGGTGTACAGAAGGGTTTTGAAACTTTTTGAAAGGTTTTCTCTGCTTTTGTTTGTTGTTAATGTTGGTAAATTTTACCAAGCAACAAAATCAGATTAAAAAATAATGAAGTTTTTTTGGTGGTGGGTTTTTTTTAAAGTACAACAGTAAACTCATTTACTGTCTCATAAAAAGTCTTGTGATCCAGAAATGTAATTTCTGGGAAATTCACGGCTCCCTTTGAGTCTTGGCCAATGAAATTTGATTGAAGTTTAGGCAGAAAAAAAGGTGATACTCCTGCCAGGTTTTTGTCTGTCTTATGATTTATAACTCTGAACATTGGAAACGTATCCTTGCCATAGACCTGGAAACCAAGTAGCACTGGTCTGAGCTCACAGGGATGTCAATTTTGAAAGGGCAAGCAACAGACTTCCTTATGCCAAAAATAGCTTTTGTGCTAAATTATTTAAGCATAGAATTTGGTCACAGATAAATGGAAAATAATATTTTGCACTTTGGACCTTTTTTGTATAGTGGGGGAAACCCAAGGTCATTTTAAAATTAGATGGGTTTTGTTGGGTGAATCTGAAATGTCACACATTCAAAAACCATGGTGCTTGGCATTGAGAAAAGTGTTGTGTGCTGTTTTTATTCCTCATGTATATTTGTTATATATTAATTGCAATGAAGAGAATATTTTAAACTCCTGCAGCAGTTCAAGTAATGTGTACCACTTCTGTGCTTTTCTGTTGTTGAGTGTAAAATATGTATGAAGACGTCTGAAGTATAAGCACAGTGGGCCCTTGGGAAGTTCTAGAGCTGTACCTTGAGTAATTTCAGTCCAATACTGGCGAAATATTACTGGTTTATTTTTGGTTTGTAAGTCTGTTTTCATCCATGGTCTGTGAAATGTTCAAGGATGATTCTTAATAGAACTTTAATATTGGAATTTTTTTAATCTTGATTATACCAAAAGTATAAATAGTTCTCTTTAGTCTAGCAAACACATGCAGCTTTATTGTAGTAGTTGCTTTGGTGGCAACCCCTAAAGGTTCCTGATAGTTTCTATTGAAACCTTTTGTATTAAGGCACTTGGAATCATCCACTTTTAGAGACGAAAATTTCCTTTTTCTGTTTTCTCTCTAGGCTAAGCATTTTGGGGCAAATCCTACATTTCTTCTTCCCTTCTTCTTCCATTCTTCCCTTAAAGAAAATTTCTTGTATGCTTGAACATCCTCGCGGCTGGGTAGACTTGTGCTCTCTCTGCCATGTCTGATTGTATAGCTGATGTGTTTGCATTTTACTTGGTTTGAATTTGGATTCAACTAGAAAGTACTGGATGACTGGAGTTGAGGAGTGCACATGCGCAGAACTTGCATCGTGTTCAGTGCAGGTCTGTGGAACTGAGGGGCTCTGGTTTGAGTCACTGGCGCAAAATTTGCATTGCAAATGAGACACACGCCTGGAAATTCTTGATTTCTAGAGATTCGTATGCATCAGTAGGCGATCTGTATCTGTACAGCAGTTAAGTTATTGATTCTCAAAAGCCCAGGAAATTCCCAGAACCTGACCACTTACTTTTTACCCTTCTTCTCTTCTCCTTTTTTTGATTAGTGGAAATAATTTTTTCAGGCTTTTTCTTTTTTGCATCTCTCTTGTTAAAACTTGTTCTGGTAAAAAGTGTTATTCTCCCTCAGTCTTTTTTTTTTTTTTCCTTCACCAGCCATAACCTACTAATATTTCTTTGAAAGTATTCATGGTGGTATGATTTATGCTCTTGTGATAGCTGCTTCATGGCATTTTCTTTCTCTGCAACCATGAATAATTTCTTTGAGGCCAAATCAAGAAATACCTGTCTCCCATGGCTCATAGGTTCTTTCAATTGCCTTTCCTAAATATGTAGACACGTTAATATGTCTCAGCATTAGCTGAAAATATGCTCATGAATCAAAGCACTATGTCCTCTGAGGTTGAAGATTGTTTGTTACTGATTTTTTAATGTTTGTTTGGCATTTGTTATGGAAATATCAAATATAGGCAGTTCCTGCATATGTCTTATTGATATTTTTCTGCTTTAAAAGAAAATATATTCTTTGAAGGAGATTCTAGTATTGTCATAATTTGGCACATTCAGTCATTCACATGCTTAAGAGGAAAAAGGTGTCCTTTGTTTCTAGTCACTCCCAAATGTAAAATTTCACTCTCATTTTGCTTATGTTTACAAAATCCGGTTATTCAACTTCCATGGCTAGTTTTGTAAATTGTTTTCTGCATATGTGGCTCCAGACTGTGTCAGAATAGTGATGTATTTTTTACATTTTTTGGGATGTATTTACATTTTGGTGTTTTGATAATAAGGGAAAATACATGTTATACATCCATCCATCCACAGTTTACTGTAACTTACAAGCTGCGTTGTAAATTATAATACCGTTTACAAGGAAGATTGCCCTTACATTATTTCCTCTTCAGATGTGTAAGAAATAAAAAGGCTGATGCATATCACAGCTTTCAGATTTAATTGTTAATAGATGGCAGAATAATTGAAGGCCAAGATATTGGAATTAGAAAATGACAATATGGAACTCTTCAATGTTAAAAACATGTCAATACTAAAACCAAATATATGTCTACCACACATTGCCATCTTTTTTTAGTACTTTACTGTAAATACTTGCTCAGCTTTTAGGAAGATATGAATAAACAGTATAAAGCTATCTTGAAAATTATTCAGAATTCATAAAATGAGATACGAAATGCAAAACTTATGTATGCAAAATACAGTGAAAACTTTTCCCCTCATATGTAACATGTTTCACTTGTAGACGCAGCCTACACAGAAGTCTATCTTACCGCTTTGTGTAACGTAACTAAAACTTTAGAGATAGTTAGGATAATTCTGAATTGTATTTATTTTCTCTTGTATCTCTAAGTACAGAGCAATCCTTAATAAGTTTTGTTAATGAAATGTACAGTTTATGCTATCTAGTAGAGGCGTAGCTGTTTACAAAATATGCAATCACTGTATGCTTTATCTTTCTAAAAAAATCAATTGCATTTTTTCTTTGTGTTACCTAACTTTCGTAAACATTTTTCCCTTTACAGTCTCAGAGATAGCAGGTGCAAAATGTTCCATGTAATCTGAAGTAATGGAGATAGCTCAGGTTGCAAATAGATAAACGGGTGTATATGTATAATATTTTCTCCCAGTTAAAATGGATCTTTTGCCAGTATAAAGAGTTTAGCGTATGTTAATGGTTTAGGCAAGAGCTTAATATTAAAACTTGGTTTTCTCAGTAGTGGTCTCTGTGTCTTGTTTTGGCTGGTGAACCTCATGTTGAGGGTTAGCATTTGTTGCTGAAGTAAGACCAACTCCCTCATGAGAACTTTTGGTTTTTTAGAGTGAACAGAATAGTTAACCTTTTCAGTGGACTTACAAACTTATGAAACAGTCTAAATTGGCTCTGACTGCAAACTTTGACCTGTTTGGCTGAATTGTGGGAACTGTGCCAAAATTTGATATAAAGCAGTTCTGGGAAGCTCTTTAAGATTAAATTCCAGGACTGCATGACTGACGTGCTAACAATATACTTGTGATATTAGACAAGTGTTACTTCAGTACAGTTTTTGGCCTGAACAGATCATAGACCTAAAAGTAAAAATTATCTCCAGCCTGATTAAAGTAATTTGTTGTGTCTCAATATGGTTTTAAAAAGTCCAGTTAAAATTTGGCATCTTGATTACTCCTTTCTCTACCCCTCTCTGTGGTGAGGGACCCTAGCTCCTCAAAACCTTTTTGCTATGCTTTTTCTTTGTGGAAGAAAAGGTAGCAGATAGAAAAGGTTCTAACTGCAGAGTATCTTGGTATGGTTTCCATGAAGCTTTTCAGCAAGCAGTCACTGAATCGGTTTGTATCCAACACTCATAACACGTGGCTGGTTTAGGCGAATTTTGAGATGGAAAGGCTGTTTAATCATACATTTCTTCATTCCTTTAATAATAATAAGGGACACTTTGTATGGGAATGCTCAGCTTTCAGTGGAGAATAATCTCTCCAGACTCCATGACTGAGCACCAGCAAATGTGGTATATTTTCATCATTTGTGTCAGGAAAAACTTCTTTATTCACTCAACACAGGAAAAATTATCTCTATTTATTTTTCTCTTATTTATTTTGTTATTTCTGATGCTTTACAAACATGCACTTTTTTCAAATTAAGTCATTTCTGGGTTTGAGGAAAACAGTATAATAGAAGTTGATTTGGCTGAGCTGAGTATTGCCAGTGTCCTGATATACTCTGCTAGGGATGCTCATCTCTTGTTCTATGGCCAGACAACTGAATATTCCATAAGACAGTAGTCATGTGCAGGTTAAAGGCACTTTTATTAGATTTCATTTTTTGTTATTGCTTTTGAATATTTGTACAAGTGTGTCACTTCTTTTGTGGAACGGGGAACTAGAATGGTTTTTGAATGCCTCTCTGTATTACTTTAAGAAATTTAACTGCCAATATTATTTTCTTAAAGTAATAGTAAAGTGACAATTTGAGTATTTGTGTGTTAAATCAGGTTTCTACATGAATGCCTATCAGAAAGTTGGCTAGATAGCTACTGACATACACCTTATGCTGAATTCTCTGCATCTCCAGTTACTTTATTAACTTTGCAAAAATTAGTACAGGTAATGCCTCTCGAGTATATCAGTAGAGTGTGTTTGGACTTGCTTTATGACAAATTTACAATTCTCTGCTGTTGTAACTTCTATAAACAGAGCAAGGAGTCACCATTTACAGGATTACTGCTGAAGGTGCTCTGGTAAGTACAGGTGGTTGCATGGTCACTGATGTTTGCAGTCTGAACTGGATGAAATAGTGGAGATGGGACTTCAACACAGCTGGCTGTCAAGTGAGGAAATGATGTCAAAAGTTCTCACTGAGAACAGGACTGACCACCCAGCAGGAAGAGGACACCAGCTGCTCTGGGGTGCAGCTGCAGGCAGCATGTCTACCAAGTAGAAACCCTAGAGATCAAGTGTTTGAAGGTAAAAAAGACCTTTTTCATCCTGGTCTAAGGCCTCTCTTGCGGGACAGCATGGAGATTAAATGAGATTGGGGAAAGACCCTTTTTTTTTTTTTTGATAATTTTATTCATATTAGATTAACTTCTGAATATCTCAACAGATAGTTCATGCAATTAATCTATCATGTATTATCAGTTGATTCAGCATGCTGTTCATAACTCATGCGGTTTAGGATATATTCTAAAGCAGTTTCTCATATTGTGTGTTATTCCCTGGAAGGAAGCAAGACTGCCTAATACTTGTTTTCCTTAGGTATTGAAAATAATTTTTCAATGAATACTTACATGGCTTGAAAATAAAATGTGGATTTTGACAGTAGTTAGAACTCAATTGCTTGAATTCTGTTTCAGACTTGAAGAAGCAGTTGTATGTCAGACTTTTTTTTTTCCAGACATGCGGTTAGTATGTCTGAATAAAGTACACTGCATCTCTGTACAAATCTCTCATCACCTGAATCAAACAGTTAGAACTAGAGATAAGAAGCTGATAAACACTGATGTTAGCAGTGTTATTTTATTTGTCTTTGTAGATACAGTGTAAAACTGACCATCTTTTACATTTACTGGTTTGGGTGCTAAAACATTTCACAACTGTAAAACAAAGGTACCAGAAACTATAATGTTGTTTTGTATCTAGAAAATCCTGTTAAATGTTGCTATCTAGTTTTCTTGTCTTTGGGTTTGGCTATTACTTCAAATCAGGAAAGTCTGGGCAATGGAAATGATGCTTGTTTCTGGACATAGGATTAAGTGACAATCATTAACCTAGTTGGAAAGCAAGCCCTCTTGCTACAACTCTAAAGCCTTCTAGGACTACCTGAAAGGAGGTTGTTGCGAGGTGGGGGTTGATCTCTTCTCCACGCTAACTAGCAATAGGACAAGAGGAAACAGTCTCAAGTTGCACCAGGGGAGGTTCAGGCTGGATATTAGGAAGAACTTCTTCACTGTAAGAGTTGTTAAGCATTGGAACGGGCTCCCCATGGAATTGGTGGAGTCACCATCCCTGGAGGTGTTCAAAAAATGTTTAGATGTGGTGCTTCAAGACATGGTTTAGTGGGCATGGTGGCATTGGGTATACAGTTGGACTTGATGATCTTTGAGGTCTCTTCCAACCATAACGATTCTATAATTCTATGAAAATTGTGTAGCAGAATTTTTTTGTTTGTTGTTTTGGTTTTGTTTGGGTTTTTTTCACCAATGAACAGCTCAGCTTTATTTTTGTTACTTTAAAGTTATTAATGGGAAATTCTGAGAAGTAATTTGATTGTGTCTTTCATGTATTTTATGGTATGTATACACATTTTTTTTCTATTTACTCTGTGGGATTATTCATGTTTTAATTTCCTGTGACTGAAAATTAAGAGGTGATAGGCCAAAATGTGTTGTACTTAATTCAGAGATTCAAAGATTATAAAGCAATGAACTACTGGGATTATTTCATCTGACTATGATAATGTAGACTATGAGAAGTAGCAGAATACATGGCTGATTTTAAACTAGGTGATGTTGACTCTGATATTACCTTTGGAAGAGTTATGCTTTTTAGTTGTAATTCTCCTTATCATCTGTTACTGTATCTCTGGCTGGTATTTCTGAGGCCACAACATTGTGTGCAGTGATAAAGTCTTTTCAGAATTACTGCTTCTCAAGATGGCCCTCCCATACTGTAAGGCCACTTGCTGTTGGGATCTGGTAGCCTTCAATTTGACTGTATTGAACCACACATTGCATGTTTGCATCCAGGTTGCTCATTGTCAGGGACCTGTGTTGTCTCTCATTGTTACTCTCATATTATCTGTGTCAACCTAAAAATCTTACTAGTAATTTTTTTTAATGTTTGCTCGAAGAGTATTGATAAAGAAGCTTAATCACACAGGGCTGGTAATTACCTTACCTTAATTGTATTAGCATTGTAAGCTTTACAAGTTACATTTATAATTTCTTTTATTGAAGTTCAGCCTTGGTTTGAATAATGATTTTTATTTTTTTAATAATGCTTACTTTAAATATTGATTATTCAGAGTTCTGCATCATCCATTCCATTGTCTTATCTCCCCAGCAGGAAATTCAACAAGGTGTTTTAAAAATCTTGACTAAAACTTGTCAAGTCCTGTTAATCTAAAATATCTATATTCAGTCACTTCTGTTTAGCTCTGTTGGACTAAAAGGACTTTCATCATAAAATGTGAATATCTCACTTGTTATTCTCAGAAGTATTAAATAGAAATATTTGGTCATCTTTCCTATTTTTTTCCTACATTATTATTTATATTTTATCACTTCCACCTAACAAGAAACCAATTTTGATGCTGCGATTATGTGCTTCTAGCTGATTTGACTTTTGATTTTTGTGAAATTGGCTTTTTCTAGTACCAGCTAAACAAAATCTAGCTTTTATTTAATAAAGGGAATTTAGTTTTTATGAAATCAATGGAAGACCACAGGTACCTGAGCAACATCTATACTTCAGTTTTGATGCCTGTTTATTAATCAAGAAGAGGGATGATAAATATTTTCCTTTCCGTAGATGAAACGATTAACCTTTTTTCAACTTAGGCTTTAAAAGCATGTGGGTGTGTTAGAACTGTCGCTTAGTGATGCACCTCCAAAGTCTCAGAATGTGAAGTCCCCCGTAGTGCGATCGCTTCACCCTACTTATGGGTGTTGCAGGAGAAACTCCAGTGACTTGAGTGGCTTGTTGCAGGCTCTAGCAGACCTGTGATTTATTTGTCTGAACAAGGTAAATTTGAGTTTGGTTTTTCTTCAGGAGTTGTACACACCCAGTGATGTATACAGCTATAATTTCCACTGTATATTCCTTTTTTTTAAACCGAGATTGTCAGCCATTTTCCATCTGTCTCAGTTTACAGCTTGATTTCATCCACATTCTGATTTCTGCAAAAGGTATAGGTTCCAATTCAGCAAAATATGTAACTTCACATATTCCTATTGCACCCTTTGAAAGTTAGGAGGAATATAGCCACACCAGTGCATAGGCTGTGTTAAAGCTCTAGAGCTCTGTTGATTGATAGATGGAGAGCAGAACGTCCTGCCACCTCTAATTCCTTCCCCTCGTTTATTATTTGCACATTATAAAAGAAAAAAACCACCTGTATGTAATTGTATATGGTATTTTGCAGAATGGCAAGTGTGATTAGGTGTCTTTACTTGCAACTTCAAAAACTGAAAGTGAATGTTCTAGATATCATTTGAAAATAATGCTTAGGAAAAAAACATTGCTACATCTTCCACTCACTTGAATTTAAAATTAATTTGCAATTGCTACTCTGTGTGGCCTATTACAGGACCTTTTTGACAATCTGGTAGGAAGAAGAACATTAAGGTTTTAATTTCAAAGCAAACCCTCGGATAAATTCCTCACTGATTAATCAGTTAATGTCTTTTTAGAACATGTTTTTCCTCTGCGGTGCCTTTGAGGGATATTTTAATGAAAACTGTCTGGCTTGAAAGTTGTTAGCTGCAATGATAGCTTTTAAAAAAAAAAAACAAAAAACAAAACAAAACAAAAAAAAACAACAAACAAACAAACAAACAAAAACAAAAAAAAACAAACAAAAAAAACACCACCAAAAACAACCACTGAAAGGCATAATTTATCTTTCAGTTAATCTACTTAATGTAAAATATCATGTAACCTAGTTGAAAATTGAGTGGACAGGAGTTCTTCAGGATTCTTGAGTAAAGTTCTGAGCAGCTGAAAAATGAAGGTTTTCAACAGGTTGAAAAATCATTTGGAATTTAGGGTGAATATCTCATTGTTATGAGACAAACTTGGTATTTTACAGAAGTTCAGTTGCTTTTATAAATTTCCCTTCCTTAGAAAATTTCCCAGCTTAGAAATTTTTGGGGTTGGAGTGGGTAGTCTTTAGCTTTATGGTAAAGGTTTAAGGTAGAATTACTCAAGTAATTTTAAGCTGTTCAGACACTACAGACCCACTCAAGCTAATTTCAGACTTAGAGGCTTTTTTTTTTTCTTTTTAGAACTATGGAGAAAGTATATAAATTCTGGGTTATGGACAGTGAGTATCTAATTTTACTTGACAGCATCCTGTTTATTAGAAGGCACAGTGCAGAGATGGGAGGTAATATGTCTTTCAGGTACTTTGTAGCCATTTGACCTGATTCTTCATTCCTTATTCATTAAGTAATTTTTTTCTTTCAAATGGATATATTTGTGACCTGGAAATTCTACCTAATTGTTTAAATGGTTAAAATTTAACTATGGCAGGGAAAAAAAAAGGCCTTTTTGGAAATAGCTTGCTTTGTTTTCATTTATGTGTAATATGCATTTAGGGTTCCTGTTTTTCATTCCTTTCTCTGAAGGGAGCTTTGGGTCTAGAGCAGGCTTGTATCTGAAGAACCATAGTTTGATGTCTGAAATTAGATGGGATAAGAATAAGTGTAAGTGTTGTCATGCCTTAAAGCAGAGTTGTTATCAGCTTATAGGAGGTTGTTGAAATGAAAACAAAAATGTCCTTTAGTAACAGAGTGATAAATTAAAAGTTGAGCTTTATAGTAAAGAGAAGGAGAAAAAAAAAAAAGGAATAAAATAATGAGATTTGGATTGATTTCAATAATACTGATTCTGTTGTGAAAGTGTTATAGTTTAGAAAGGAGATGGGTGGCAAATTTGGGAGTTATCTCTAAAGGATAAGGAAAAAGTCTGATACTGAAACAAATCCTTCATTAGATTGACTTTATAAGCTTTTTTAAAATATTTTTTTCTTACACAAAATAGGACATCATCACATAAATTTCTAGTGAACCTTTCAAAGATCACTCAGATTTTTTTATTTTTTTCTTTGTTACAGTTGCATTAAAATCTTCTAACTCTACGAGACCAGAAAAAAATGGCATTCAAGAAAACTGTAGAACAGCAAAACATGGAGAGGGCATGCAGATCCTGGAAGGAGAACTCTTACTGCAGGTATGTTTTGCAGTGGACGTATTATACAAAGATTTAAATTTAAAATAATAAAAAAGATTATATTGTATTTAACATACCAGTTATTCATTGATGAGATTGAAAAAGGAAGTTTTCATATTGTCAAATTCTTTCCTCATTTTCTTTACATTAATATTACACAGCTCTTGCACTTTTCTCTGGTGGTAGTAGTGACTTTGAAGAGCCAGTGTTAGACTACAGGGTCCTCTTAACTCTTTATGAGTAATTTCTTAGAGTTATTTTTTCCCATCTCTTTACGTCTATTGTTAATAAAGATATTAATATAAAGAAACAATCTTCGTAAAGGTCAGATAGGTTAGTCATCTAGTATAAATTTGGTGACTAATTGTCTAAAAAACCAATTTCTCTTTAAGAGATCTTGGGTCTGCTGGAATATCTTGCTTTCTTAGTGGTTAGAAAGAACTCAGAGTTCATAGTATAGGTTCAGGACAAATTTTAAAATACTTTCAAGAACTTTTAGCAGTGTGAACTAATGGAAGGTATTAATGAAAAATAGTTGTGGGGTTTTTTTAAATAGTATAATCTGTTTTGATGTCCTAGAGTGTCAAAGCACATGAAATGACTAATGTAAGTATTCCACTGTTCTAATTAGTTTCACGAAATAGATTTAACTGCGACCTGCAACTCCATTTGAAATATGTTGATCATCTATCTTCTACACAGGTTTCTCACTGATGTATCTATCAGAAGTAGCAGATCATTAGGTCAGTCAGAGCCAATGGTTTGCTTAGAACAAAATTAATTTAACTGTTCAATGGGTAGAAATAAAAACAAGTTCTAGGAATCCCATAAAAGAATTACAGTAAACTAATGCTAGTTGAAAATTGTTTACTAACTGGCTAAAAAACTAGGGCATCTGCCTAATTTTCTAACCTCGATAAAGTATGACAAAGAACTGTTATGGAGTTACTGCAGGTGAACAGCTTTCTTTTAAATATAAATTATCTAAAAAGGTATAATATATGGTTTAGATGGGAGGCATCTATTTGATGTGAAATTTAGTTATTTTTTGTGACTTCTGAATGGAAATTAAATGAGGGAACTGCTATAACAAACTGCTTTCCAGTATGAAAATGAAATGGGTGATATACTTGTTACTGTAAATTCTGCCCCCTTTGGGAAGTAAGTAAATGAACTGAATTTCTTAAATGAATTTGTTTTGTAAATATTTTATGTATTAAAAAAATTATGAAGATAAATATGTAGATGGAGTTTTCTTAGGGAATGTAAGAAATAGAGTGATGAAAGTGGGAATTTTCTAGAAGATACTGAGCATCGAAAAGATGTAAATATTGATAAAATCCTTCCCTTCGGCCCTAAGCTCAGAATTCTTATGTCACACAGGTTTCCATAAGTTATAACTAATGATGAACATTTCCTTTTTATTCTGTCTCTATTTTTTGCAAAGGTGGTATGAATATATACCATAGTGTTTATATTTGGTTTTATTTGTTCATCAGATTTTTTCTTGTTTCCTAACAAACAGAAAATTATGTCTTTAATTTCCAACATAGAAACAGTCTTACCCATTCAATATATTGTGGAAGTAGAGATCAAAAACATAGATGTGCCTTCCTTAAAATTAATCTAGATCTCCTTTAAAATTATTTAATTATTTTAAATTCTTATTTTAGATACATAATTTACCTTTTATCTACATTTTAGATACAATCTAAGCAAGTTTGTGGTATGAAGTGCAATTCAAATGATAACCTCTAAGAAATTTTTAAAACATCTTAATTCTCACCAGTAATGAACAATTTTGTAATTGTATTAGGAATATTGAGAGTACTTTTGTAGAAGCACAAATATTATCTCCAATACTCCAGAATAATAAACTCACTGAGAAATTTCATTATGCCTTTAAAGATAATTGTTTTAGGATTGCATTTTGCCAAAACCTCCATCAGAATTAATCTCCCATTTATTGGTGTGTCCAGATACCTGCATGTTTTAAGGAACTTCCAGTAAGTTGTTGCATTAGGTTTTTGGGCAAACAACTTGCACTTTACAGAATTTTTGGTTTACAGAAGTCATCTGATTTCTGCAGTAACAATCCTGTTTCAAGATGAACTGCGTTCCAGAACCACTGTAAAATGTGATTGAATTCCAGGTACAGGAGCTGTACATAGCTTTGTATGAAACCGAGCAGAATAACCAAATTTAACATGTGAGTCAGATTTAGATACTGTGCAGCTTGTGGACTTTTTCTATCAACCACTTGAGGTTAAATGTCCTGCAGAACAGATCAGCAGAGGACACAAATACCTGCCATTGTGGCATTCTGCTCCCTTGGAATTACGGTGAACTTCATCAAAACCAAGGATTCTATGTAACTACTCAAGATTTCTTGGATTTACTACACTATTTAATTTCAGAGTAATGTAAAATTTTTTTAGCTCATGTTGTATTCAAGTAAAATTCACTAAACTTATATAAGGAGTTTTTATAGAGCTCACAACTGTTCATGAGAATAGGTTAAGAAACATCTACAGGTTAAATAGGAGTGCTTCACAGCATTTAAAGACCAGTCGTTTAATCAGATATTTAACTTGACTTAATCAGATTGTATTAGTAAAAGAACAAGAAATAGTAAAACAATATCTCTGCAAAACATGGAAAAGCAACTATGGTGGTTACCATAGTGTGGGGCTATGGGAATTAATGTTTGTGGAAGAATGATGCTGATTTATAATAAAAATATATTATTATATTGTTGCGGTAAGATACAGGCTATCCTTCACTTACTTTACATTTTCTATGTTACAATAATTTTGTGTAATAAAGAGTTTTTAAAAATGTGTTTTGAGTGTGCTAGCCAAATTTGACTTTGAATGCAGCTGAGGAAATTAAGTGGCACGATGTACTTAATCCGGTCCCTTGAGACAGCCTTTTGTTAAATCTTGACTGAAATCCATAGAAGTAAATCAGCACCTTTCAGATGAGCTGCCAAGTCACAAATGTACTGTTTGCTATCACAACAATTGCTATGAACCGTATTGATTGGGAGTTCAGATAAATGCCCTTTGCGTGACTTTGAATAAGGAGCCTCTTAGTCTGCTGCTTCACCAAGGGGGAAATCTCTTCAAAAACATTGTTTACTTGCAACAGTCTGCTTGTGCAGAGGTTTTCTATTTTAAGTAAGCTATAAAATGTTTTCTTGGACTATATAGAGGATCTTGATCATTTGATTTCCTTCCGCTTAGGCCTGTCTGCACTATGAATAGAACAGATTTTGGGAATCGGTCTGTGACATGGCTCCCATTTGTGCTGCAGGCAGCTAGGCGTACTGAAGGCTTGAGCCATACAAGCATTGTTGATGTTAGATAAACTTACAGTTGTTCATACTGCTGTCCCTCATCTCCTACAATCAAGAATAATTGAAAGTCATCAACAGAGTTTGGCTTCTCCCCTGAATTTTCCCAAGGAACTTTTTTTTATTAGATGCAGTTTTCTTCGTTGTGCCATGTATACTGTAGAGAGATGCAATGAAGAATACTTCTGTTTATGCTGTTAGATAATGATATGTTTTTGCATACTTCACATTTTATTGGGAGAGTAGGGTATAGGTAGACTTACAGCCACAATAATTGTCTGAAATTTTATCTCTGAAGATGACAGATTGGTGTGTTTCCTCCCCAGGCATTAAATGGTTTTGTATTAGTTGTTACGGCTGACGCTCTGGTTTTTTATGTCTCTTCTACTATACAAGACTACTTGGGGTTCCAACAAGTAAGTTTATTTTTTCCTCTATTATTTTGTAGAAGTTTTGCTTAATTTCAGAGGGCATCAGTGTTCATGTTTAGGGTCTGATCGTTTGTGTAATGAAGTACCTAATCGAGATTTTTTTGAGTTGGATTACTTTGAAACCATATTACTTTTCTGTCAGCTTACATAGCTGAAATGGGACCTTAGGCCAAGCACAACAGGAATATAGTTTCCAAAGTTGAGTTAGGCAAGATAGGAAATTTTCACACTTAATTAGTCTTTACTGGAACAACTGTTTGAAATGTATACTGTGGTGTTACCCAGTTTATAATGCTGAGTGGGACATAATTCAGTGGGAAGGTAATTATTTTAAGAGAAACCTTTCATACAAAATTAACTCCATATGCCTTGGAGTTTTAAGTATCAACTGAGTCATTTTAGTATTTTTAGAATTCTAATGTTCTTTCACTCGTATTTACTTCATTTATTTACTTAGTTATTTCAAAACAAGCATTTGTTATTTACAATTTATGGTGCAGGTCATGTATGGCTAACTTCCATGGGCTTACAGACCAGGTACCAAAGCAGTAAAGACCAAGACCTAGTGGGCATATGTTGCCTTCCTTAGAGAACTTCTGGGATTAGTTTATGTTAAGATGATAGAGGCTTAGTTACAGTTATCAATTTGTATCTTTGTGTACTGTATGATGCTAGATTCAGTTGCTGTCTAAAAATAGGGAGAAACTACTCGGTCTGCAATTTTAGCTAACTGATAAGAGACTGGGGAATGTTTGTGTAAAAGAAAATATTCCAAACAGAACTATTATTCCTGGGGTTACAGATTCTTTTGGTGTTGGGGAATGAAGAAAAAAGCTTGGAAAACAAATTGGGCATAAAATTCTTATAGTAAAGCCGATAAATCAAGTGCATGATATAAAAGTGAAGTCTGAAAGTTACAAAAAATTAGCATTTCTGGCAATTTATTCTGGAAAATACTGATTCTTTTATGAAATTCATCAGAGCAAAATTTGAGCTAGGCTTTGCTTTTGCCAGTGTATCTTCATTTCTTTAGATCTATGTTTTATTTAAAATATTTTCTGTTTATATAATGGTTGAGTTTTCGATCCATGCAGAAAACAGGGAATTTAACTCCTCTCAGTTGACTGAGGCTTTTCTTGAATATTTTGGGTGTTTTTTTCCCCTTAATTTCTTTCAACCACTCCTGGCTGTTGTAGCTTTGCCATTTACATCACATTCCTAACCACGCAATTGGTGGTGATATGAGAGCTTAATAATTACAGATTTTAAGGCATCCTTAAGGAGTGACAAAGCTTTCGGGCAAACAAAACCAATATTCATAACCTACTTGACTTAGTTTTGGAAGTTGTTTCGTTGAGGATCTTTGACTTCTTTTGTATTCCTGTAGCACCTAGAATGGGTCAGGTCCAAGTACTAGCTGGCAAGTACTTTATTTACCAGTATGTAAAATTAAATTATTTAAACAATACCTAAGCATAACAGTTCCAGGCTTGCTTAGATAAAAGCAGGTAAAGAAATACTTGACATAATGTTATTTTTTTTCTAAGGTAATATTTTTTGATTATTATTTCTCATGTTTGCAGTCATGAGTGTGACTGAATTCTTCTCTGTGCTGATAAAAAATTTTTCATGAAGCTTTGCCACATGCATGCAAATATATGGTTTTTTTATCCCTGAACAAAATGAATTTTGCTATATCCATTTCAGTGTTGTCAACCAGACGACTTATAATATAGTGTCATATAAGTTTCTTATTCTCTTTCTTTCCTGCTTTTTTCCTTTTTGTATGTAGTCTGATATTATACACCAGAGTGTATTTGAATTGATTCACACAGAAGACAGACCTGAGTTTCAGCGACAGCTACATTGGGCATTAAGTCCTGCCCAGTCTGCAGATTCTGGACCAAGTGTACAAGGTGAGAATGCAGCCAGTTTATGTGTTTGCCTGTCTGATTATTTGGGGTTTTTGGGGTATATAAAAAAGTTTAGATTCTTTCGTACGAATGAAGGAAGGAATAACATCTTTTAAACTTATTTGAATTTTGTGGATATATTTAGCCACCAGTGGGAATTACTATTTTTTTTTGCACATTAAGCACTGCTATTCATAGCACAGCACTGTTAAAATACTAATTATGCTTCAAATTGGAAGACTTTAATTTGGAGCATAAATGACTGAGCGTCTAACATAGTCTGTTCAGTAGTCCTGTGGTAAATAGCAAAGCAGGTAATCCTGCATGTTTGTGTTGCAAATGGGGCAGTCAGAAGTGGACAGTTTCTCTTGGTGATGTAAAAAACAAGGAAGTTTGATTTTTTTTATTTTTTTTTCTGTGTTCACCCTCAACTACATGGCTTGTCTTTAATCGCTGTTTGAGTGAGAAAGTGATTTCTCTGAAGTATTGATATCTCTTTTACATCTACTACTCCAGGTTACAGATTGTGACACCAAATTTATTAGCATAGGAAGATCAGCAGGCAATTGGGTACAATAGCTTCTTTAAACTCTACAGGCTGGTAGATCCATTGTGTGACTAAGAATGTGTTAGTTACTGTTAATATACGTAATAGGGCGTCCCTGGTCATGAAAGAGTTTTACTCTTCCACATTTGTCACTGTTATATGCAGGCTGCCGCATAGATCAGTACTTCTCTTGGGAATAAAAGGGGAAGAGAAATAAAAGATGAAATGGATGAGCCTTTAAGACTAAATAGTATGCTTGTTAGAGCATCAGATTGTTACATATTATTAACTGATGCTTAAGTGACCTGCTAGATTGAGAAACAACTAAGGAGAAACACATTGCTTATATATCGGAACAGAGATGTGTGGGTACAGATAGTTACGTGTAATATGGGAAGGGTATGCCTGCCTCATAATGACAACAAAACTGTTGAGACAACTGTAATGCTCAATTTTGCACGACAGTTGTTTAAACGTGTAGGTAAAGCTCTCTTACTTGATTATAGGATATTTTTTTAATCCAGAAAAAATCCATGTTGTTTTTTAATAAATCTACCATTCATAAAGCAACTTGATTTAAAATTCTAACAATTTCATGTTTAATATGCTAGAGTATGGAAAGGCCATGACTTGATAGAGAACTGAAAACCAGCAAATGTTATTTACTTGTTTGGCTCACAGCTCCGTATATTTCAATTTTTCATTTAGTGGTCAACATTGTTATATCATCTGTGGATCAATCTACACAGTCCAGTTGAAAACATGCTATACAACTGGTTAATATTACAAATTCGTATAGCAAACAGCTGCTGGAACTCAGAAACCAGGTCTTTATATGGTGGCTTACTGTTTGCTTTAGAGTGAAATGGTGTTCTATAGTGCTTAAGCAACTGTACATGACTTTACAAAAGGTTGTGTTTGAAAAGTATGATGCTAGATTGACTTGGCATCAGATTTGATTGAATGACAGGAAGTGCTGAGCAGGATTACAAACAATTGTTTGTTTTGTGACTTGTATTCCTAGCTTACTAAAAGCTGCTAATTATTTTGGGGCCTCAAGTAGCATAAAATGTTTGGACGTTGAGGATTTTAAAACTGAATTCAGATTTATAACAAAGGATAATGCTATGATCATAAGGATCCCCTCCATTTTTGCTAATTTAATCCATTTCCTTTTTAATACACTCAGTTAGCATTATGTAGCTATTTATAGACATATTATAGTTGTGCTCAAGCTTAAGCACAGATTCCAGCCTAAGTCTGGGAACCAATTCTGCTTCAGTTAGCCTGGATTGGTTGTTTTTCACTCAGTACTCTGGTATGCCCCTAGACTACTGGTTTCCTCAGCTGTTAGTGTAGTTCCTAGACACTCCTAGCAGTCCTGTCATGTTCCCAGAGTAGTTTGCAAAATTCTGATTTTTCAGTCTCAGGTATCTGTGTCGGGGCCCTAAGTCTGGATTATCTTTTAAAGTTCACTTGCTACACAACCATGTACGGTCTTGAGCTTATAGAGAAAGAAAAGAACTTAAAGCACAGCATGTTCTGCACATCACTCCATGGTGTTGGTGAGATCCAGCGTGAGCTTCGTGAGGGATACGGGTTCTCACCCCTGTAGTGTTAACTGGTAGTTTTGCTCCAGGGATTGCAGACACTCTGTAAGACTCTTTGCCTTCTTACAGCAAGTCACTTCTCCAAGATCCTGGCACTAAAACCTCTCTGCCTCCTGTCCACCTGGGAAAGCACAGTAGTGGTATTCCTTTCACAAATGTAGGAGGCTTGGGCTTGAAGCCCATTCCCTTCTGTTTTGAGTTCTGTTCCCCTCCTCTCACAAGCTACAGACTGTGTTGCTTCTTCCACCAAAGCCTTGTTCATTCTTAGAAGCTGCCCATTTTAATAGGGAAGTTGACAGACACTTGAAAGAACCCAGGTAAGATACCTTCATTCAAATTCCAGCTCTGTATTTACCAAAAGAATAACACTGAGTTGCTCCTGTGGCAGAAATGCTGAAGGGCATGCCTACGAGTACTAAGGATGCCAGCAGAAAGCCTTGCATTGCTCATTGGATACTAGAGCTACACTCAGTAGGCACTCCTCAGCCAGAAGACTTTATCTGAGTTAGAGGACTTAGAGCCGTTTGAGGAGCCTGCTACTGATGATTAAAGTCTTTCTCTACACCCTCTCCAAGAAGTTGCTCATAGTCTCATTAATCTCCATGAAAGAATTGACTGAACAAACACACACGGGGTCTTTAAGGTACCCTAAACTACTCAGTGCTCTCAGGATGCTCCTGCCTGTCCAGTAGCTCTTCCAGTCAACTCCTCTTCTGACAGTAGCCAGCTGTTGATACCAATTTTCTTTTGGCTTCACTAGCTGGCACCTTTCTCTGTAGTAGTAGGTCTTACAGGAATGAAGTTGTGGCAATAGAGAAGGAACACAAATATTGGGATTGCTTGGGGGCGGAAAGTATTTTAGTGGCTTCCTTGCTGTTGATACTTGTGAAACGTGAATGTTGATATATGAGTGTCTTAACCATTTTGAGGAGATCTTGAGTAATGTATATGCAGGGATTCTCAAAGATGTCAGAGTTGGCATTTTTGAAAGATGAGTTGGGATTTGCAAGCTTTCTTTGAAGCCCTTTCTTCATGATCATTGCTTCTTCAGAGAGCATCTAATCTCTTTCAGCACCTCTTGGAGAAGTTCCTCAGAAATGTTGAAAATTCTCACCAGTAATTAGACAATTAGAAAAAAAAATAAATCTGCAGCAGTAGGAAGTAAGGAAGTAAGTTTGCTTTTGTCTCTTGAGAACCATCCATATGACAAGTGTGGGAATTTGTTATTTTCTAATCAAAGTTAGGTGGTAACTATCTTGGACCACAAGTAGCTGAGTTTCCGTACCTGTGGGATCAGCTCATAATGGTGGCTTTGGCCAATGCACAGTTCTGCAGATAGCTGTAATTTCAGATTATCCCTTTTCATACACACTATCAGCTAGGGCCCTTTTTTTTTTTTCTCCATACGTTGAAGTTTGTTCGGCAAAAATTGACTTTGCATAGCAGTTCTTTTAAGGAAAAAAAAAAGGTATCTCCTGATTTTATCTGAAAAGCTGGATAACTCAGCATTCTTGTTGGAGTTATATGGCCTTAGGTTGCAAGGCCTCTTGGTGAGCCATCAGCAATCTCATTTGACTCCAGTTCAGTCCCTTGAATTAACAGGAGATTAAATTGAACTGACTTTTGATCATGCTTTGTTTTCCTTTGGGTTTGATTCGCCATTGTACAAACCACCTAGCCTATCTGTAAGTTTTTCCAGCTGTCCAAGAGACAAAATTATTTTCCAGAGAACATAATGTGGTGTGTGATTAAGTGACATGCTCTCCCTGGTTTCATCTCCAAGTCTGGAAGGTCAGTATGGGTTTAAGAAAACTCTGTATTCTTTTGTCCGTACATGGCGATCTGTTCTCTCTGAGTATATGGACTATTTTTTAAATGACGGAGTATTTAGCACTCTAAAATAGCATTTTACACTGTTTTTTCTTAACTTTCTGCATGTATGAATTCCTAGGGAGCAACTAGTTTTGGGGTTTTTTGTTTTGTTTTTTATATATTACAAACAAGATCACTTTGCTAAATTTGCTGTGAGTAGACATGCTCTGGTATCTCTGTGTATATATAGTCTCATGCAGAACATATGTGTTTTATCAGAAGTTTATTGATGTACCTTCTGTTTTTACTTTATATTCCAAATGTTTAAGTCTGTTTTCTAAATGCCACTTAGCAGCAAATGCTTGTCCTAAAGTGGCAGAGGAATATCATGTTGTTATCCTAGCTGTCAATCATGGATCTGAGTCTTTTTTTTCTTTACAAACAAACCTCACAAAACACAAGTGCTCCAGGTTCCTCTGGAGAGGTAACTATGGTGTTTTCTTGATCAGCACAGCCGAGAAACATTTTCACTGTTCAGGAGGAGGTTTTTGCATCCGTTAGAGAAAGCACTCACATTGATTTATTGTGGTGACTCCCCTAAAGATGCTTCTCTTTCTTTATTGCTACAGCTTTCACCAGGCTGCCTGGAAAGTAACGGTTTCACAGTTTGATACTATCTACTGAGCTTTTGAATACTCAGTTCCTATAGTTACTATGCCTTTTGCAGATCCTGCCGTTGCAGAAATGTGGGTGTGCTCTCTGCTGAGAACTCTGCTCTCTGCAGCTGAATCAGAATGTAGATTGTTGACAAACTTAATGAATAAATTGAAAAAAACCCAAACAAACAAAAGCCTGAAACAAAACACCAAAAACCACCACTTAAAAAATGCAGTTTTCAAATACCGTAGCCTGTAAAGCATAATGCCATCAGAAGAAATGTACTTAACCTAGTATTATAATCCGTACAGGTTCTGAGGATGTTTCCAGTTTACATTGTTCTTGTTCAGGTCATGACCTAATGCTTTGTTTATGAGATGGAAGATGATTTGTTATAGATAGACTTCGCTAGGTGTTCTTCTAAAAATAATCCTTATAAATAATCCTTTCCTGTAGGAGATAATGGCTTTTCACAGCCAGCAACCTATTATAACCCAGACCAACTTCCTCCAGAGAATTCTTCCTTTATGGAAAGGAATTTCATCTGCAGGTTACGATGCCTCCTGGATAATTCATCTGGGTTCCTGGTGAGTATGGAGTTTTGTAAAAATTTCCACATATGTTTGCAAGTTGGAAATCTGCATTATCTTTACAATATGTACAGCAATTTACTTTAAGTCTCCATAGATATCTGAGCGCTTGAACCAGTATGTTTCAGTTAGTGACACTAAATGTGTCTCCTTCAATGTGTTGTTACAACCAGGTGTAAGTTCTCTCATTTCTCAGTTTCCTCAGTGAAATACAAATAAGCATCTGCTTTTGTAAAGTACTGTGTGATTTGTGGATAAAAAAGCGTTACAAAGATTATTTTCTGTTGGGTACGTTGAGATGCGGTAAGTCATAATAACTAACAGAACTGTAGTTTTCTGTTATTGAGAGACTTTGTGCTTGCTCTTTTTAATACATTTTTTTGTTTGTCAATGCTGTAGATTTTAAAAGAAATACGGATTTATCACCCTCTAGATGACTTCTTACAGATAGAAATTTTGTATAGGATTTTGCAATTGTACACGTTTGCATACTTTATACTAATGACTGACAGAAATGCAAGAGAAATAACATTATGTTAGTTGTATGTGTAATGACATGTTCATTAGAATATTAGAATTTGGGCTTTTTTTGTTTGTGGTTTTTTTTTTTTTTTTACAAAACAACCTTCCCTTTAGTTCTTTTTCCAGTGAGTTTATCAGTAGATCTCAAAGTGACATGCTTAAGGGTATAACAACAGTATGCTGTACTTCTTAGCTAACTTTTGTGTATGCCATGCTACAAAGCTTGAATCTGATGGGTCTTAAAAAAAAAAAAGTGATTTACGTCATAACAGAAATATCTTACTCTTAAGCATCTCCAACATATAACAATTACTTTTTTCCTCATCCTAAGGCTATGAATTTTCAAGGACGGTTAAAGTTTCTCCATGGACAAAACAAGAAAGGGAAGGATGGTGCTACTTTGTCTCCTCAGCTTGCTCTGTTTGCAGTAGCTACTCCCTTGCAGCCACCATCTATCCTTGAGATACGAACCAAAAACTTCATCTTCAGAACTAAACACAAACTGGATTTCACGCCTACTGGCTGTGATGCAAAGTAGGTGTAAATTATTCTGCATAATACTCTAATAAGTTGCTGATGAGATAAGTTTCAAGTACGTATTTGAAATATAAAGCTAGCTACTGTTTCAGTCAATACTGGTGATTGTTTAGGAGCTGTCAGAATTTTTCCTCTTCATCCCTGCTAGTAAGTAAAGAAAAATGGCATTGTCATAGTGTACTTCCTTGAAAGGGCATATTGCTTTCTGACTCTGTCATTAAAAAAACAAAACAAAACCCCCCAAAACAAACAAAAAACCACGAAAAAGAATACAAATGAATTGGGGAAGAAGAAAAGTTTAATGTTTAAATGTGGTTGAAATTTGGTTTTAGAACTGATAGAACAAGTGTTTCATTTTGTTCTACATGCATATTTGCTCCTTGAGTTCAAATAGATGTAAAATACAATGGAAATGTTTTTTATATAAACAAGTGAAGTCCTTTTTTATAATATGACTTTTACCCATTTTCAAACCATTCTTCTCCTTATATGAAAACTGGAAACACTATTGCATTACCAGATCAACATAATGTAACTATACATCAACATGGCAAGAAACCCATTAAGATGCTGCTTTACCAAAAGAAAAGCCTCTGACCTTCCTTCCTTCCTTCTCCCCTCCCTCCTATTTTTGACTGATAATGCTTTCAGTTTTCAGACTCATTTTCAGTGGAATCTCATATGGATTTCCGTGCCTACTTATAGGTTAATGTAGAGTCAATTACTCAGCATTCTGTCTACTGATAAACCAAGATGTTTTTCTTGGGTTCTATAAACTGATAGGAGTAAAAGTTAACAAAGCATTAACAGGCTTTTCTTTCCTCTGTTTGATTTTTTTTTTTCATTATGCTTCACTTGAAACCTTCAATTATTGTTAAGTTTTACACTTAAAATTGTGTATTTGTGTTATTATTACACAATACAATTGATATATTGTTCCCAATCCCTATTTTTTCCTTTTTTTCTTTTCCCCCTGCTATCTTCAGATCTCCATTTCTTTCTTCCAAATCCTGCTTCAATCTCTTTTTGACTGTTTCATTCTATCTTGTATCTCTTAGCACTCATACAAACGCTGTTGAGTTCTTCATCTCCCTGACCTCTAGTAAAGTACTCTTAGCTACCAGGGTCAAACATGACTCAATTGCCAGTACTCCTTTGAGGCATATCTTAGAAAGCTTAAATGGAAACACAGAGGTCCCAAATCACTCAATAGCAAAAGGGATGTAGTTCTGAGATATGCCTTGTTTTGAATTTTAAGCTACTAAATATACTAATTTAGGCAAGAAGTTTTAGATAACTAAAGTTAAGCCCCTATTTAATTCTACATGCAAGCACCTATAGGTGAATGCTATGAAATAGGGCTAAGCAGTTTCTTTCATTGCAACAAATGGGAGCTGCCTGCTGTAAGTGAATCTGTACAAAGGTATCGAATTGAGTCCAGCTGAACTGCAGACATACTTTTTTTTTTTTAAATGATCTAGTAATTTTGTGAACACATTCGTAGTCATTGAAGGCAACTTGCGGGACTAGTAAAAATTTTATGAATTGTTAACTGTAGTTTTTATTAGAACTGTCATACTTCTGCACACAATTGATACTGCAACAAAATGTAGTTAGCACTTGTTCTAGCCATAGTTAACTTGCTTGGCATTTGTTCTGTGAGTTGGTTCATCAGCAGTGTTGCAATTTTTTGTTTTTACCTTCCAGAGGAAAGATTGTCCTGGGATACACTGAAGCAGAGCTGTGTATGAGAGGAACAGGATACCAGTTTGTTCATGCAGCTGATATGCTTTATTGTGCTGAAAATCATGTCCGAAGTAAGCTTCATTCCCTAAGAAAGGCTGAAAAAAATCAAAGCATGGATTATATTCATACTGAAAAAATACTATGAAGTACTCTTTTAAAAACAAACAAAAAAAAACCCACCAAAAAAAAGTGGTTGTTAACAAGAACACTATTCATTTTATGTGATCTTTCCCTCCCTATAAACACTTATACTGAATGAAGAAATATTTAGTATTCCTATCTAGATCCTTTTAGGATTTATATCCCAGTTTCTGTCACATCTTGCTCTCCTCGCTTCCTTCTCTGCTCAACACAATTTCTGCTATTTCAACAACTTCCTTTGGGCAAAGGAACTATTTCAAAGATAGCTTTCCTGTTAGGAAGTTAAATAAAGCATTTTCTTTTGATATCAGTGTAAGATTTTTAGCAGAAATTAATCTCTGATTTAGCATGTTAGTGTCCTATATGTTTATGGGTTTGATTCTTGGTGGGTTCATTTTAAGTAACAACTTAAGGAGAGAAGCATAATCTTTTAAGCTAAGGAAATAAATATCAACTATCTGATGTGTATCTGTTTAGTGGACTTCTTTACTTTTTTTGTTATCTGTAACATATTTGTCTTTGGAAGTTACAGAAACATCTTCAGGATATTTTGGTGCTGCTTCTTTTCTACTGACTTCTCTTGAAAAACTGTTTTTTCTTTTGTCCCCCTATATACAATTAAATAAACCCCCTCAGTAGGTTAGTTCTCAGCCTATATTAAGCAGGTTTTTTCTCTCAGGTATAGCTCAGTCACTGTTGCCTATCAGTGGTTTTGTTTGATAAGGAATAAAAACCAAAATACTTCCAGAATAGAATGGGATGAAACTTTGATTTGAAATTTTGGCTTGAAATTTTGTCTTAAAACTGCTTTTGCTCCACTTCTGATGCTTAGATAAAAGAAGTCTTGTAACAAAGATTATTTTCTGTTAGGATTCTTAAACTTTCCTGACTTTTTTAATTTAATTTTTCTGTCTAGAAATGCAGTGTTTTCAGCAATATACAACAAAAATGTTGTATGCTTATCAAGCATTGCTAGTGAAGTGACAGTGGGAATGAAAAATAATGGATTTTGAAGTACCTCTGTATTAACCAGTCAAAATGTGAAAGAAATGGATTCAGAGCTAAGATGTTTTCTAATTTCTTAAGTAATAGTCACTTTTTGGATGTAAAAGAGACTTAGGCTTTCGTCATTTACATGTTCTAGTATTTATTAATTTCTGTTATTGCAGAAATAACAGATGAAGCTCCATATAGGATGTTACTGATCTGTAGTGGATATCTTACAATTGCTTGCAGTTTTGGCTTTTATTTTACCAGTAAATTAAAGTAGACGTCTTAAAGTGATTGATCATCCTGTTTCACTAGGAATACATTAGTGCCACACAGAAATGGGTGACTGAGGATATGAGATTTGTAAAATTGCTCTACAAATGGGATTACTTTCATGACATGCCAGATTTTCCTATTTTTGTTCACTGGATAGTAAACGATGTGCTTACTCTTTAACTCTAGTGATGAAGACAGGTGAAAGTGGAATGACTGTATTTAGGCTTCTAACCAAAGAAAATCGATGGGCCTGGGTACAGGCAAATGCACGTCTTGTCTACAAAAATGGAAGACCAGATTACATCATTGCTACACAAAGACCTCTTACGTAAGTCATCATCGCATAAAGCAGTATACTTCAAAAACTGAAAACTTTTAGGCTTGTTTATGTTTGGAAATAAATTTTTTGTTTTAAATAAACCACCTTTAAATCCTGAGCTCCAAGAAGAAAACCTCTTTCAATTTGCTAACAAACATTGAAAAGAATTCTGATATTTCAGTACTTAGTGTGGCCATAGTCTTTTATGTGTAAACATTTAGATATTTTGATTTTGTATAATGAACAGGAGCGGCAGTACACGCACCAAGTTATTCCATCCAACCTATTTTTAATTCAGCATCCCCATTAGCAAAAAATTAAGAAATCCAACTGCAGTTGTGTAGAAGAAACAACAGATAACATAAAGAAGTTAAGTCCTTTTTGGTGCTGAACTAAATTTTACGTAATATGGAATTCAGCATTATTTTACAGGTTAAATCATTTTTGCTAACGAGTCTGTAAAGTGGAGAAAGAAAGATACTTCAGTATTGAACTATTCATTTACTTGCTATGCAAGACAAACATAATGCGTGGAACAAAGCCCACTTATTTTCATTTCAGCTCATAATGCATAGAAAATGGTGTATGCTATCTAGATTTAATTACAAATGTAATATGTAAAGGTGGTATTACAGTCATAAGCTCCTTATTTCATAATCTGCCTCTTGGTTTAACTCAACCAAGTTGAGCTGGAATAGCTAGGAATTTGAAAAATGCCTTCAAATAGAATAGTTCATATTTTTGTAAATATTAGTTCCAGAGGACAAAAAGATTACAGTACCTGTTTAGTACTGCAGTATTATGCTATATATCTGATTTATTTTCAGAGATGAAGAAGGGGCAGAACATCTACGGAAGCGTAACATGAAGCTGCCCTTCATGTTTGCCACTGGTGAGGCTGTGTTATATGTTTCCCTATGTCAAGCCTTATGGATCCTTCTCAGCTGAAGAATAAAAGCACAACGGGAAAAGGAGCCAAAGCAACACTGCACAATGATTCTGTGGATCCAAACTCCCTCCTAGGTGCCATGTTAAGGCAAGATGAGTCTGTGTATCTCTGCCCTCCAGCATCACATAAACTTTCCTTTGAGCGGAGCTTCTTTGCAGACAGCAGGGATGAACTGGGTGGTGGTGTTAGCAGCGGCTGGACAGATAATCTCCTACCTGCAGGGAATCACAACATTCTCAAACGGGAGGTAATGGAGTGTCCCCAGGACAGTAGTATTCCGCTTCCTGAAGACAGTGCAGCACTCTTTCAAGATAACAAAACCAGTGATTTGTACAGCATCATGAAAAATCTAGGTATTGACTTTGAAGATCTAAAGTGTATTATGAGGAGTTTTTTAAAACTGAATTATCTGGTGTGGATGACATTGGGGACATCGACATAACTGATGAAATCCTGACTTATGTTCAGGATTCCTTAAGTAAGTCTGACTTCTTGTATTCAGGCTGTAACCAGCAGCAGCCCCTGGTCCAGAATGAAGGTTGCTTGGTACAGCAAGAGTTAGATCCACATCAGCTTCATCAGCACCAGAAACAGCACGTGGAGCAGCAACAGCAGCAGCAGCAGCTCTGTCAAAAGATGAAGCATATGCAAGTCAACGGGATGTTCACAAATTGGAGCTCTGGCACCAGCATGTCTCTTAGCTGCTCGCAGCAGCAGCCCCAGCAATATGTGTTCCCTGGCACGCATACCACTACATCTGAGTTCTCTTACAAATCAGAAGTAAATGCTTCCCCTTATGCGTGTAGGCAAGAGTTTATTCCTTATAAACAACCCACAGCAATGATGCCGCAGCTTTCTAATTTTGCTCAAATGGATTTCCCTGTAGCAGGTTTTGACAAATCGACCTATTCTGCTTCTTCCAACTTGGAGGATTTTCTGAGTTGTTTGCAGCAAGTCCCTGAAAATCATGAGTGTGGGCTAAACTCTGAGTCGGTTATGCTAACTCCTCAAACATGCTATGCAGGCGCTGTTTCTATGTACCAGTGCACGCAAGAAGCACAACCTAGCTGCATGGATCAAATGCAATATGATCCTATGATGGCAAGTCAACAAACGTTGTTGAACAAGGTAAGGTAAAACGGCATTGCTGTATTGCTTGCATTTTGAATCATGTTTTTATTGTTTTGGGTGGCTACTGGGATGCACAGTTTGCCATAATTGAATCACTGAGTTTGAAACTGATGGGTTAGCAGTGTGTGAATGTCCTTGCTTTATTTGTTCATTAGATTGAAAAGAGTTGCATTTGGTCCAACTTTTATGTACGTATATCCACAGCCTGATAGCGCTCTTTGGCAGTATTAAAGCAAGAGTGAGTGAACTAGTCTGTTGTACCTACCAGTAATTTTCCCAGTAGGAGCAAAGGAAAAGCAAATTAGTCAAAAGCTTGGAATTTGCTGATATACCTTTTTTTAGAGGAGTGGAATGATGTCAGTAATATTGTCTGGCACCTTCATTTTCATGAAATATGTTCTAAGGATCCAGAAAAATATCTTGTTTTTTAAATGTTGGTTTTCTCTAGCTACTCAGATTCTTTGATTATTTTAGGATCGCTTAAAGTATCAAATTATAATATCGCTTAAATAGCATGAAATATTGCGAACTATTGTGTTTCTACACACAATGATATTGCAAAAATATTTTTATGTATTGCCATAAGTGCAAGTCAGCTTGTTCCTCAAGCTGCTAAATTGTCCGCTGAAGACAAAAGAACAGGAAAAAATTATATCACAGTAGATAAGTTGGTCCTTTTTCACATTGTGCTGAGGAGAATGCACAATAAAAGCCACAGAAGAGAGGAGCCTGGCTGTGGCACAGATTACAGTTTTAAGCACAGTTCTTCATAGGTAAAATTAACTTAGAAATAAAAAAAAAATTATTACTAAGGCAGTTTGTGACTGAATAACCTTTGAAGTATTTTAAATTGTACCATTTATTTCTGTTAATGCTGCTCAAGTACAGAACCACAATTCTATTTTTTCTTTTTACCTCAATGAGTTAATGTTCTAAAGTACTGATCCTATAAATGCTTCTGCACATGCATAAGCATTTACAGAATTAAAGTATTAATTGGCATTTAACCTGCACAAGACAGAGGTGAGGAATGCAAGTAGAACATACTGAGTTTTTCAGTATGCTTAATACAAGTACAAAACATGTCCTTTTTAAAACTGCTTCACTAGTGGAAAAAATATAATTGCAGAATTGCAGAAATTTAGCTAAAATATAGGACAGTTCCGCAAGATGAATAGCTTCTGCCCGAGTGCCCAAGGGTTGAAACAACATGAAGTGACTTTGTCAAACTGCAGTGTGCAAGCTTGCACAGTGCTTGGCTGTATGTTGCCTGACCATAGTCCGTGTTATTAGTTCTTCATAGTGCTTAATAACAGGGTTGCAAAGCAGTTCCAGGGTCATCGCATTCATCCCTATACTAGTATAGAATCGTTCTTTTCACAAAAACTGTGAAAAGAACCACTTTTTACAGTGGTGCGGTGCATCGGTTTTGAACAACCAGTGCATAAGTAATTCTATTTCTCTTTTTAATGGTTGATTTCAAATATATTTATTTCATAGATTATTTTGTTGTTATGCTGTCTTAATTGTTTTTTACACCCCCTTTTTGTTATTTTCTTGCTTACTTTTTCTTCTCATCTGTCTGTAAAAAGTTTATTGACTAAGACAGCATCTCTGAATGCAATAAATGAATACATCTATTACTTCATATTTGCTAGAACACTGTGCTGCAATAATAATATTGTGTTTAGCTTTTTTGTTGTAAAAAAAAAATTAACAAAGGCCACTTTGTGAAAAGTTATCCTTACTTAAGTTGTTCAAAGGCAAATTCAGCCCCTCTTGCTATGGTATACCTACACTGTGTGGATCTGGATAGCATTGCATAAGCAGAAGCCTAGCGCAGAACCAACGTTAGCCTTGTGCACGTTAGCTCCTGTTTACCTCTGAAGAGAACTGCTGAACATTTGTCCAAATGAGCTTAAAAGAAGAGCATGCTTCTTGATGAGATAAGGAAGGATTATTTCCCCAACCCTCTTTGTAAGAGTGATCGTAGATGGCTGATAGCTATCTCCAAGTCCTTGTGGGTCCAAAACTTACGTATGCCAACTGGGGTGAGGGGTGGGAAGAGACTGCTTCTTCCTAAAGCAAATAATATTGGCTTTTGCAACCTGTACTGCTATATACTGTTCACATGAAAAAAAACAACACCTCTTGTATCAGACTCTACTCAGTTTTGACCTCTAGTCACATCTGCCAATTGACATTTTTATAGATTGAGGGCAAAGTAAGGATCTATGTAAACCAAAGTTGTTTTGTTGAGAAATGTTTTAATGTAGAAATATTTTTTTACCTAGAAATGCCATTTCTCCAGAGAAGGATAACCTTATGTTTATATATACTTATATTACAGAAATTGTATTTAGTTTTGTATCAGAGGAGTTAAGAGCTTTAATATATGTGAACCCATGGGAACTAGTCAGTCAGAACTATAACTGCTGCACTTTGAAGTAATCTTGTAAAAGATCATCTATGCCAAAGCCATGATGGCAAATAATATACGTTTCTTTATTGTAAATAGGGAAAATGTGTCACTGCTTATGATGATAAACTTAAGGTTTGATTTTTATTGCCAATTGGTAACTTTAGTAAGGATGCAACTAAGCAGATAGGATACTACTGTCTGAGCCTACATTCACACAGCCAAACCAAAGTAGGGCAGTCTTTGTGGCTGGACTTAGCACACTGACATCCCTATCAGCAGCTGAAGTCTGGAGAGAGGACAGACATTGCTACTCAGCCTTCTAACTCCCATCAATTTCTATGTGAAAAGACTAGGGGATTAAAAAGCCAGAAGGGTCCCTTGTGGTCATCTGTCTTGACCTTCTGCCTAACTTGTAATTGCAGTACAATCATAGCCAATGTAGTCTAAAAGCACTTTCAGTGATGGAAGAGGGCAGAAAGGCATTAGATAATTTGATTGCTTGTTAAAGATCGGTATTCCTTTATTAAGCAGGAGAAACCTTGCTAGGTACTAGATTCTGTGCTGAGGACTTTCTTGGAAGTCTCAATGGGCGTGCTGATCTTGGTAATGAAGAATATTGAAATAATCTGCTTCTGTCAGAAGTAATCCTAGCATATGTTATTGTAGCTGTCTTTAAAAGTATGGCAACTTTAATTAGAACATAATTCACATGGCTATAGTCTTGTTGTTAGAAGAACTGTGCACAGTTAGTCAAATTTCAATGTCTGCATAGCAGGAAAAAAAAGTGTCCAAAACCGAGCATATTTTGGTAGATGAATGAATGTGTAATAAATGTTTTTAAGGACAAACCTTGAATGAGTACTTATGATATAAGCTACTCCCAAAGAGATGATGGAAATGTTTAAAATACTTTATTGTGTTTTCTTTGCATGACTGAATGGAGTATTTTTTAGATAAAGTGACTTTTCCATAGCATGACAGGAAGTATTACATGAGATGATTAAAATAATCCTATGAACGCTTATGTCAAGACTGATGAAAGCCATTCATTTCTCTTACTTGGCATTGTCAATATGAAGACTGTTTGTCAAAAAAACCCACCCTATGAAAGCTCAACCTGTGGATTGAATGCAGTACATGTCAGCTTACTGATAGGCCTGCATGTGCATTCCTGGAAGAGCTGTAAAGTCTGGATCCCATTGCAGACATGAAAATATGTAAATAGGTTGCTTTTAAAATGTAACAGCTGGATGTGGAAATTAGGAGTGCTCAGTCAGACTGGAATTTCTACAAATTGAAACTATATTATGCTTTAGATAATAGTGATGTTTCTTTACTTAACCATAAGTAGGACTCCCACTGACTTCGGCATGGGTAAGTTTCACTGATGGTTCAGACTCTACTTTAATGCAAATTAACTTCTCATCATTCATCATCTAAAAAAAAGTTTTAAAGCTATTCATTGTATTTTCAGATTATTTCATCCAATCTGTGTCTTTAGGAGGATTTTTAAAAACTTAAAAATAAATTGGTTTCCCATGCTAACCATTTATATTGTCTCTTTTCCTCCCAGTTCCAAAATGGTTTCAATGGAGGAAACGTAAATGAAGCATATCCCTCTCAGTTAGATGTGATCAGTAATGCACAGACTGCCACACATCTTCAGCCTCTTCATCATCCGACAGAACCCAGATCCTTCTCAGACTTGGCATCTAGTGGATTTATGTGATTCAGATCTAGAGCTCCATCTGTGATTTTGTCTGGGTGTCAGGCTGCTCTGAGGAAAAGCTTGATAAGTCTATCTTTGAGTATCAGACTTTAACAACTAAATTACATTTTGAGAATATGAGGTTGATTGCACTATATACTGGTGGATATGTAATCTGAGACCTGGCTTTTTAGAGTGACAGGTGGAATTCAAACTTCTGACTAAAAGTACGCATGTGCTGTTTTCCATCAGATTGACTGTGTCGTTGCGGTATGGATTACATATGTACTACAGACTGTGTCATGCTATACAACATAAGATAAGGCAAATGGTTTTGTTGTTTAGAAAATAATTGGGCACTTTACAAATTGCATCAATGGCACAAGGAAGATGATTTCACATGTGAATTATTTCCAGACTTTGTTTTTTAAAAACTATTAAAAAGCTCTGAATTCATGAGAATCAAAAGCACTTAATTTTAATGCATACTAAGCTCTTTAATCACTTATTTTATATTTAAATCCTTTTGTTTTAAGTCTCCATTTCTAGCACTTTAATAGAAGGCTTAATACAAGGATATGATATGCAACTTCAGGTTTTCTATGAAACAGACCCCTTGCATTCCTCCTTTTCTTGTCAACCTTAAGTGCCTCACAGTTTAGCTACCTGGTTTCTGATGGGAGCTTATTTTAGCAAAACTAACTATAAATGTCATCCATATTATGTGAACTTCTATCTAACATCTACAGTGCTACTGGCTGTATCTTTTTCTTTTCCCCTCTAAAGATAATTTGTTTAGAGAATGACTTAATTCTTTATCTGTGGATTTGTTACACTATAATCACGAGTTATTACTGTTCTGAATTTAGTTCAGCTAAAGAGTTTTGGTTTATTCTGTACTTCTTTTCTGCTTTCTTCAGGTAATACAGGGTATATTAAAAAAGATTTTGCTGAGGGGGAGGAGCAGATCCTCAGGATTAGTTTTAGATGATTAATGCTGAAAAACATGTGCCTTATCTTGTGTTAAAATGCTCATAATGTTCTTTAGAAATAATACAAGGCTGCTCTATGCAAATATTTTCATTAAAATGGATACTGAAAAGGATTGCATTTTAAGTAAGGGGGAAAGGAGTCTCAATAGCGATTGATATTGACATTTACTTTGACTGCAGTTTTCAATGTTCATAGTGGGGAAAGGGTCAGTTTGGGTTTAAACTTTATCCCTGGCAAATTGCACTGCAAAGTACGGAGAAGTTATTCTTTTTATGCCTGTTGATGCATTTGAAAAGCTTTGTGCAAAATATAAAATTGGGGAAAGAAAAAAGTCATTAGAGAAATTCTCCTTGTAATAGGTTTTATTTTCAGGGAAAAAACCCCTACATCCACAAAAACATTCTGGGGTTTTGTTTTGTTTTTATCTGAGAGGATTGTTAGGATTGCAGACACCAATGTTTGGTGCAAAATAATAATCTACATGAAAAATACAGAAATGTGTATATGTTCAAAGTATTTCATACTTTTGTGTGTTGTATAGTTCATATATAATAAAATGTCTTTGTAAAATATTTTAAACAAGTTAATTTTAAAGTGTTACATCATTATATGTTAAGAACAATTTTATTACATTTGTTATATATAATATAAAATGGCAATTTAGCCAATTTGTTTAAAACAGGCAAAAGTAAATTGGCTTCCTCCAGACAGTTGTTAATATTGTTTAATACAAGGACAATCACTTAACTATGAAAGGATTCCAATTTTGAAGCATGCTTTCTTTGAAGAGCAACATATTTTCTTCCATTCTGTGTGATCTGATATGCTAGGCGAAACTTCTAATTCAGTTACAACTTTTCAGATTAATTTCAGCAGTTCTTTTAAGTGAAATTACCATATATGAAAGGGACATTAAGGAAGCAATTACTATTCAGGAAAAGCCCATAAAGACATTGTGGGTTATATTACAAGGTTGCTTTTTTTTTTAAACGTTTCAGATTTTGTTTTCAGCACAAGACATCAGTAACACATTTAATTAATATCATTTGGATTAATTTGTGATTCTGTCATTTTTTTAAGGTCTTTTTTTAAGCCAATATCTGAAACGTCTTCCATATCTAGCTCGTGTATCACGTTTGCGTTTGAACTTGAAAATTAGAAAAATGCTGTAAAACCAGAAGGTTCGAAGGGATAATGTATGTTTTGCATCTTACAAACCGGTATATATCCTGTTTATTAATTTAGTTAAACCAAATACATGTTGTCCTATCACTAAGTGCCAAGAATGCAGTACTACAACAGTGCTGCCCTACTTACTGTAAACAAATTAGTTGTTTATATGCATATCAGTATATTTTGTGCATTATCTTATGTGTACAACATTGACTGTATAGGTCACTCTTGATCTGCACCGAACTGTACCTGCAGTGCACAGATGTTTCTGAATTGGATCTCTATTAGCCCTTCAGATCTGTTATAAGTAAGATTATAACCCAGTGTTAGTCAGTATTACTATCCATTTTTGTACAAGTTTTCTTAGCTTGTTTTTCTTTCCAGTTCTTAGGTCTCCTTTGCTATGTCTGCACATACCATGCAGTACACCGGTTGCATTAAGGTATGGTTTTGTAGCGCTCTTGCTCACCTCCAGTAAAGTTTGTAAGACATAATATATGGTAATAAAATAATCACTTGAATGTAGCTGAAATGTATGTTCATTTGCTGCAAAAATGTTTGATTTCAGCAGTATACAAAAAATACGTTATCATACAGTTACTAATGTCTTTTGAGAGCTCGTCGTCTAATAGTTTACAAACTTGTTATTTACGTCACTGTGGACTTTGCACTTCTCCAAATATTAGATGCAAATACAATGTATATAATTTAGTCGTGAACAAATGTGTATTTGTCCATGAAATTAGTATTTTATACTTGCATGAAAATGAGTTTATAAATAAACTTTGTAAATAGTAAGCCACAATTAGCAGTTGGAAGGCTTCTATATTCATTGCTTAGTGACAGTAAATTCACAGTTGAACGGTACTAGGGCTGGAATAGATTTCTACATAGAAGCTGCTAAAAGTAAGAAGGATTTTTGCTTTTGAGATTTGTAGCTGGCCATTGGTAACCTATTTACTGTTTATTGCTGTTTCATAAATAGTGATTTTTAGGTTAAGAAAACAATTCTTTTAGTTTATTTCTAAGTACTGATATTACTGTTTCCTGTGTGGTATATTGGCTTTGCATGGTAATCTCTTAAAATCAGTTGTAATGTTGAATCAAGTGTTTCACTGTAATCCCCTATGTAGTTTACCAAACTTACAACAGTTCTTTGGTTTAGTGACAGGATGGACAAGAATTTAATTGGTTTCAACTACACTATTATCTTGTAATGTATTAAAACACATGTCTTATCCAGAATCAGTACTAGACTATGAACTCTATATGTAGGTCCTTTTGTTTACTCTTCTTGCATAGCACAAAAAGACAAGCTAAGATATGAGAGTAATTCAACAAGGCTGCAAATCTATTAAGTAGCATCTGGAAATAATCAAGCAATAGTATAAGCCGCACAGGCCATCCTTTTTTGTAGTCTGTTGCATTTGTTAAAAGGATACCTTCAAGCCACATATCAACCTTTTCCCAGAAGTGTATGACCTCACTGTCCAGTTTTGTTTAAAGGAGGGAGATACTTTCTTCTAGACTAAGCCATTTTCTTAATGATTTATGGAATTCCACTTCTATTTCTAGTTCAACATAAAATTTAACAACCATGGTGGTACCTAACCTGCAGTACGCCACTATGTCATAAGCTCAGGTAGTTTGTTGGTGCAAGTCATCATCTTACTCAAGACTCTGTCAGAGGGAGGCTTTCCCAAATAGCTCTTCTGGAGACGCGTTTTCCTAGTGAGGAACCACATGTCCCACTCTCACACTTAAACTGAGAACTGGTTCGTTCTCAGGTGATTTTTGTTCACCTGAGACCTGGTTTACTAAGTTAGGTTAAAGTTACTATCTAGAATGAGAGCCTGATTCCACGTTTAATATTTTTATTCTGTCCATTGATTAAGCTGACAAATTATCTTCCTGCCTTCTTCCCTCTCTGCCTAGGCATCCTCCCCTGCAAGCTGACACTTCTAGTGCTAAATAAGTAATACTAGACCAAAACAGCTTTAGACATCCAGAATACAAGTTGATGTCTAAAACTAATACTGGAATTCACGCATCATATACTCTGCATGATCTGAACATTTAATGATTTCCAACATGGGCCACTCTTCACTTTTCCCCCCTTCATTTCTGTTACCTCCAGTGAACCATATTCACTTTGATTGCTTATCCGGGTATCTGAGCCAGCTGTCTAGAAAAACATCCATTCTTCGTCTCAAGCAAGTTCTGGTGCATTGATATTTTTATTTTTTTTTTTGTGGTGAACCTACATGTTATAAATCCTCTTATCTCTTGAAGTTGATCTTCCTGACAAGTAAAGGAGGACCATAATAGTAAGGCATCAGCAGCTAAGTGCAAATTTTTTAAGGGTGCGACCAGAGATGTGAAATCAAAGATGTGATTGGTATATGGGATATTGAGGTTTCTTCTTTTTAACCTAACCTTTCTAGTCAAGGTCCAGCAAGCAATGTTACTAGCATTAAACAAAACTATATGCAATTTAGTTTCCAAAGTAGCCAATCTTTGAGAAAGTGAGAGGTTCCTCAACATTAAAGTTACTGTATTTTTTTATAATTTATGGTGAAGCCAACAGGCTCTTACATTCTCTTGAATCCAGCCTGGCTGGAAGTAAAAGTATAAGCAATATTCAGAAATTAATAACTTCAACAGATTTTTTTTTTTACACCATCTTGAAGGTTGTGTGTGATCATAACTGGATGTTTAAAATCCATACAAATAAGTTTGAGAAGTTTCATTGCTAAAAAAATAAATTATAAAAACAGATGACAAAGCCTGAGGGATGTTGGGACTAATTTGAATCCTTCATACTGCATGATAGTAATAATATTCAATGTAAAAATTCCTTCTGTATTTACAGAGTGACAAGGGAAAAGAGAAAAATTTTTGAACAAATTCTCCGCTTTTTACTGACTATGGACACGAAGACTTCCCTCAACATGCAATAATGGGCATCTGTTAGTAGGTGGTATAAGCTGGAGGAACTTGGCTCCTTGCTAATAAAAGTAAGAGCTAAATTAGAGGAAACTATTGAATTTACTTTGTGACACTAGTCAGTGAAATTTCGAGAGGGAAGTGCAGGAAGAGAAAGGGTGGTCTGGCCCTTAATGTACTTGAAAGATGTTTGAGGGTATTTATATTCTTTTCTAGTTTCTGAATCCTCATCCATACTTTTTTAAAGAGCAAATTTTAAATCTTCAGAGTCTCTACTCGGCTGCCAACTACCTTGATTCTTTCATAACCA